ATGAACAATATCTGACTCGAACGAAGGCCTTATTTCTGGCAACCCTATCTGCAGCTCTCTTATCATATTCGAACGACATCATATCGAATAGAGGAACAGAGAAGAAGGGGGACCCGTTCATTACTGGAGGGTTTACGGTCGCCATTTCCCTCTGTATGGGTGCAGCACTTTCCAGCTACCTCCCCACAAGCGGCCTTTTTACATCTAGGCACATGCTTCTATTGGATAGACAAAAATCAAAAGCATTCTATCATTCAAAACGGATACTAGATGGACCCTTATATTCAGAAGCCACCCCCAAGAAACAATCTAACCACTCCCTCCCAATGCTCTCAAAGATGTTCCCTCGACCTTTTCCCAAACATTCCAATCACGATATACTACATTTTGAAGTCCCTCTCACATCAGAAGAACTGTGCATCATTCGGAGGTTCGAACAAGGTGTTTCGGTATGCCAATGGGTCGGCGAATCCTTCCTCTGTCTCGGGTTCTGCGTCATGTTCGGTACCCTCGTCATCCTCTCATGGACAGAACAGAAAACCTGGATAGCGCTGCTCATCACTGTCCTACTGAGCTTATTGGTTATGACTGTGCTCGGGGTGTTTTGGATGGCGGCGACGTCACACATGAACCTTCTCATTGACTATAGAAATCAATCCAAGAATAGGACACGCATCTTCCCTTCATCTGAAACTGTATAGGTGATTCTCTCACCTCGTCGTTAACACTCTATCCTGTATCCCTTACATTATCGCTATTCATTATGTATTTACACAATCAATTAGATTTCCACAAGATCAAATCACATCCCACAAACTCCTAAAAGCGCATCCAAGCTGGCAAGTGGTTTTCAATCGAACTGCGCCAAGCCAAACTTGCAACCGACCACATTCAGCCTTTGGCACTAGACGCTGACTGCACGCCCATTCGAGACTATGGATAATTCAACTTCTGCCGACATTGTTCAGAGCGTTTAAATACGCCCAAGACGTCGGTGACGCACCATCAACCAGCCTGACCAGCTGCCATTGTCCTAGCCCTCTCTTGGCTCGCCATCATGACCTCCGAGATGCCGACTAGCTTTGTTCCAATTTTACATTCTCTGTGAGTATTTCTAAGATACCAAGCTACGAGTATGAACTCATCACACGAGGCAGACGAGCACCTTGCCACTAAACCACAGAAGTTACATAATCAAGGCATATTACGACTTCCAATAGCTTTGGTGAGGTGCTCAGCGAGAGATGGAGAAGAGTACGTATGTCCTTGGCGCCAACACCCTTGGCAGGGAGCGTACATAGGCTAGACAGACAGTCTCCAACTCCTACACCGACTATAGTATGGACTTGGCTTGGCATTTATCTTATAAAGATGAGGCTCATAAGCATCCTGATCATGCCTACCAAGTTGACCATCTATGGACCAGTCACGAAGCGAAACCGTCGAGAGGCCTGCTGTAGCCATGCTACATCACGACGATTCAGATATAAGTATTCCTCATTGCTCGTACTCTGTGGCCAATGCGCAGCGATATGGCTTCCAAACGAGCACTTCGACGTCTCCAACACTAGCAGAGTCCCGTAGGTACTTTTTCACCAATGTATATTCGATACTAACAGAAGTTCTGACAGTTAAATCATCTCCTTCTCAAAGTATAGAAGATCTCAAGTTGGAGAGTCCTTACACGCAACTCCACACAAGCGCTGGTACCAGGAGTGCCAGCACGGAGCCGACTCGCTATCACTCTTTCTCTGCAGCATTCGATGCATCATCTGCAAGAGATCGACATACCAATGAAAGATCATCAGCAGCCGTTATGGTCAGTTCCTCTAAGTGTTATGGAAAACGTATCTAATATACCCAAAGGCCATCTTTCTTGCAACTTTATCCGCCGCTCTACTCTCCTACTCGAACGATATAATATCGAACAGAGGTTTCGACAAATCGGGTGACCCGTTTATTACTGGAGGATTCATGGTTGCTATTTCCCTCTGTATGGGGGCGGCACTTTCTAGCTACCTTCCTACAAGTGGCCTCTTTACATCTCGACACATGATGCTCCTGGATAGACTCAAAGCAAAGGCATCTTCTCGTTCAAATGGGATACTAGACGGTCCCCTACACTCAGAGGCCCTCCCAGCTCTCTCGCACAAACGAACCACCCGCTCTCTACCAATGATACCGAGAATGTTCACCCATTCATCTCCCGAGCACTTTGAATATAGCTCTTCATCCCAATTCGAAGTTCCTCTGACGCCAGAAGAGCTATCTGTCATTCATAGGTTCGAACAAGGCGTGTCGGTCTGTCAATGGGTCGGCGAATCCTTCCTCTGTCTCGGGTTCTGCGTCATGTTCGGGACCCTCGTCATCCTCTCATGGACGGAACAAAAAACGGGGATAGCATTGCTCATTACTATCCTACTGAGTTTGTTGGTGGTGATCGTGCTAGGGGTGTTTTGGATGACAGCTACGTCGCATATGAACCTTTTAATCGACTATAGACATCAGTCCAAAAGTAGATTGCGAGGCCAACACCCCTCGTCCGAAATTGTTTAGGTGGTCCTTTCACCTTGTACATCTTACGTGTTTAGAAAGTTGTACATATATTATCGCTATTAGGTATATATACATGTAATTACATAGCATCCAATTCCTATCTATGTAGAACGTCAACCAGGTGGGGGAGCAATCTTGGAGCCGACCGTGACCATCCTCTTCAAGCGTAAGTCGATACCGAAGCACAAAGGTCCCTCAAAAGCCTTCCTCTGGACTACAAAGCACTACACGATCTAGTATACCCACGCCAACCCAACGGTACTCTTGACAATTGCTAACCAGCGGAGAACCCCGAGCGATGTATTCGGGGTATTCCCTCACGTATGTAAAATCACACCTCGGTTAACCAAAAAAAAAAAGACTTCTCAACATTCTCGATACAGAGTTTTGAAAAGGTGGTGTTAAGGTTGGACAGCATTGACGCCACGGACGAGTAGAACTAAATTGTATTGTGGACCTTTGGAAGAAGGAGATGAAATGGGCTTAGTATGCCCTAAAACCAGCACGGGTTTCGATTGGAACTCGCTTATGGGTGCACGTTAATACCGAGCCTGCCCTGCTTCAGCGAGATTGTCGTCCCAGATGATTATTATCTCGTGGGCCAGAATCTATAGCAGATTCAGTATAAGCGCTCATTACTTTGACTTTTATTGAGTCGGTTTTAGATTTGGCGCTGTGGTTCCTCAGCTTGGAGAGCGCCCGTCCTTGTCGATGGACAATTGCAAGGTTGTGGAGAACGGACAAGACATCCCCTATATGTCTCGCACTTTTCATCGTGAAGACATTCGGGGTGAACAATTTCCCGTAGTCATCGGTCCCAGTGGATCTGGACGATAAATACCGCAAACTTCGAGATGTGTCTGGGTCACTCACTAGGACCCAACTCGTTTGGAGTTTACAGCTCCTACTTGAAGTTCTTCCCCTTCCCTCAAGTATAAATGTCACAGAGTGGTATAAAATCGAGTTACCGAACGCTCGCCCATCCACTAGTGGCGACATTGGACGCATTCGCGAGCGGTTCAACAGAAACAAAACACGAATATCAACTCCCGAGATACTCTTCCATTGCTCAACCATCTCAAGTAAGAGTAATGCCTACAATTAGCACTCGTGCGGCGGCTAGACCGTTGAGCGAAAACATCGGCCCATACAGCATAGACAGAAGTATGTGTCACCTCTATATACGCTGGATATGATTGAAGGTCGATAAGCTCACAGATTTCAACAGGTACCCCACTACCCCCTCAGTTTGAACACGTCTTATGGCACCTAAAAGACATACACCGGATTATAGAATCGAAACAGTTGAAATCTCGTCGAGAATCTACCTACTTGACATATGGTCAGGCGGTCGAATCCGTGCTACATAAAGCAAGAGTTCGCAATCGAGAGTCCTCAGTTCCCGTCATGGTACGTCAACACTCCCAGGTGCACATCTTCCTTGCTGATAGAACCCTAGGCTATCTTTATTGCCAGCATATCCGTCGCGCTTTTGGCTTGTGGACAAATCTACCAAGAGAAACTATCCGATAGCACCAACGAAACCTTTATCTGTCGCGTCCTCTTGGTCAATGCCAGCTTTGTGCTTTCCGCGACCCTCAGTACCTTTTCAGTTGCATATAGCCTCGTATCAATCGGTACATTTGGACGGCCCAACTTTGTAGAGGTGGACAGCGCAAGAAGAAAACTGTTCAAGGCAAGAGCAGAAGGACGGGCTTATGATCAGACTTCACTTCACCTCAACTGTTTCCGTCGCTTCATCTTGCCACCTCTCAAATCATTTGCCCAATTCCTCTACCCAGGTTTACTCGCTCTCGCTGGAGAAACCGAGCACTACACTGCAGTCGATAGAGAACACCCACTGACAAAAGAAGAACTCGAAGCGGTCTATATATTCGAGTCTCATCTCTTATCCTGCCAGAGAAAATGCGAGGTTTACCTCGGGCTCTCGCATATCACTCTACTCCCTGGAACTTGGTGGGCTAGACGCCTGGGTATGTATTACTTACTGAGATTCAACACAGTAAACTGAATCCGTACAGCCTAACTTTACGCACCCTAATAGAGCCTCAAGACGCCAAGGCAAACGAACACAAATCCTCTCAACACCAAGAGAAACGAATTTTGGTCGACACTTGTCGAAAACCCTCGAGTAAATGTTATCCTCAATTACTCGCTCTAGATGGTTGAATCCACATAGACATGTATACTAGACATTGC